CCTGTACCTTGCACAATCAGCCTAAAACAGCAAATAGATATCGTTTTCTGCATTAGGTCTTGTCACATAGTAACGGCTTCACAGAACACTGTGTGGAGAATTCTAAGGCTATTGATAAGTGTAGTCTGAGAAGGTGTTACAGTCACTTCTGTCTGTCACACACACAGGAGAGGATAAGGAAGTGTGTAAATCCTGCTTTTCATGGGAAACCACCTTGTCACATGGACCTGGAGTACTAGACATTCTACCAAATACCTTTACTCATCTCATAATCCTATTCAGGTTGGAAAAAAAAACAGATACATAAATAACCACAACATATAGCCAAACTGTATTACAGGCATTTAGGAAAAAAACAAGTGAAGTTTTATGCCAGGGGGAAAGACATTATGATGAGCTGGGGATGGTAACATCAGCTTCGTGGAAGTTATAGTTTGAATCTAGCCAGGAAAAACACATTGGAAATACAAAATATGAGTAAGGATGTCTAGAAAGAAGGCCATTCTGGGGAGGGGAAGCAGTGAGAAAAGATGGGCGGTGTTTGAAATGGCTGTCCAGAATCCCTTCCTTTTAACTGAACCCCAGGTTTCTTTAGGGATCCACCTCTTTCTTAAACAGCCACATACATCAGAGACATCTGACTCCTCTCCCAGGTCTAAGCAAGGCCTGTCCCTCTGGTCCAAAGACAATGACATTTGACTTGACAGTGATCATTTTTGAATCTGTATGTGTCTTGATTCTGGCCAGTGAGACACGAGGAGGAGGAGTTTCACCAGAGACTTTCTTGAAAGTTTTCTTAACCTAAGTGAAAATCATAGAAAAGACAGTGTGTCCCTTTGCCACATTTGGATATCATTCCTGGAATTGCTATATCTGGATGATTCTGGTTTGAGTTTGATTCCAACACTAACAGCAGAGCAGAGAGGTAGGGGTCCCTGATACCATCAAAAAACTGCTAAATCAATGATCTTCTTGGCCCATTTTATCAGACAGTTTTTTATGACTGTAACAAAATACCCGAAGCTGGGTACTTACAAAGATAAGAGGTATATTTAGTTCACAGTTTAGCTGAACATACAAGATCAGGCAGCAGCAACCGTTCAGTTGCCTCTGATGAAGGCACCCTTGGCTGGGTCATATCATGGCAGATGGCACCATGGTGGCAGCATGTGTATGAGAGAGTTCACATTGCAAGACTGCAAGTCAGGGAGTGTGAAGGGGCTTGCAGCCTCCCCTAGACCCTAGCTCTTAAAGGTCCCAGTATCTCTTAACATCGCCACATAGGGAACCATGTTTCCAACTCAGGAACCCAGGGGACAGACACATCCAGTCCACAGCACCCAACTGATCTCTGGAATCCCTGGTGTGTGAGAATATGTTCCCTTTCTGTTGAAGTTAGTCGGATTTCTGATCATGGCAGAAAACTGTATCCTAACTGAGTCATTAGCAAACGTTTTGCAATCCAGGTTGGCTAAAGCAGAAGGTCTCGGAAAGAAACCCCGGGGAGAGATACAAGCCAGGGACAAACCTCGCAAGCCTCTGCATGCCGTGCCAAAGAATTCGTAAATAATGGGGAGCCACTGACAGTTTTGGTAAGCAATGGGGAGCAGACTCTTAGACCAGATGGCATAAATGTTGGTGCAAACGCACTGTGCAGTTAGCAACGGACCCAGCTCAACGAAAATCTGCATCTTGGGAGCAGCATCTTCAGCAGACTGGGAGCAGCATGGGAAGGAGTGGGCGTGCGTGATGCTCGAGCTCCCGGGCACTGGTCTCAGTGGTCACACTCACACACGAGGCTGCCCTTGGCTGCGGCCGCACCAGTGCCATGTGCGAAGCCAAGCAGTTGGTTCCTCTGCTTTCCTTGGCAATGGCAGAGCCCCAGTTGGAGCCTCATGTTTGTGCTAAACTCCAGGCGGCACAGTTCTGATTTATAACTTTTTAAATTATTATAAATGTGATTTCTTTCCATTGTAGAAAAATTGGAAAATACATATAACAAAAGAAAATTGAAATACTTTTAAATCTGTCTCCCGAAGATAAACCACAGATAACATTTGCTTGTAGCCGTCCCAGACTGCGCCTCTCTGTGTAGATGTAGTAAGCAAAAATGATATCATAATGTATATATTGCTTCGTGATCCTTTTTTTCACTCAACGATATATTGTGAGTGACTTCTCATGCCAATAAATTTTTTCCTATGACATTATTTTTAAAGATTGCATAAATTTCATTGTAAGGAAAGTGATTTACTCAACTAGCACAGTACCCATGGTGGAATATATTATTTCCAGGGTTTCTACCATATACATAAATGATACTGCAGTAAATATTCGGATGTGTGTGTGTATGTGTGTGTGTGTGTGTGTGTGTGTGTGTGTGTGTGTGTGTGTATCTTGGGACAGAATCCCCAAAGTACATTGCTACACAAAGATAAAACTACACAAATAAAGTTAAAAACTTCAAATTCTGGATATTTTAATGAATTCTGTGTGAGTGTTCCTCTACATTTGAGTCTAATTTATATTTGTTTTACTTATAAATTTCTTAATATACAGTTATATACTCAACCAAGACAGGCCAATGCATGTATCTATGTATACACACATGTGTGCATGTTTAGAGACTGTGTGGTCATAATTTATACACATTATTTACTTTATTTATATTATTGGCTTTACACAAGAGAACTATAACAGCTGTGGTCACCTGATACTTTGGAATACATGCATAACCAGGTGCTCATGCACCAATATTCTCCATGTCCGGGTGCTCACCTGCCAAACTCTCCTCTTCCTCTTGAAACGGGCTGGCTTTAAACTTTTAAAACAAATGAGATATTCCCACTGGGAACCCATGACACCTTTGGATAAAACTTTAGGTAAACACACAAACCATTCCAATCCCACTTCCGGGACTTGTGCAAGCCTTTCCCCTGGTGTCAAGAAGTCAGCATTGGGGCATAACAAGTCTTGAGTGCTGTGAGGATGTGTGGGGAGGCTTGAGAAGGCCTTCCTTGCTTTGGGGACAGGGGAACTCCTTCCCAAGGGCCAGAAAGTCTTTGAGAATTAACTCATGGCCTGAGTGTGAGGCTTCCTTGTAGTGTTCTCATGTCCTTGGATGCCGGAGATGCAGATGAAGGGTGTTCTCTATCAGGAGAGGAGGTGGTCTCAGGCCTGAAAGATCCTCTGATTCTTCATTGCCGTGGGTTATACAAGTACAGTGAAGTCCCAGCTTGAGACTGCAGACTCACCTTCAGCATCTATAAGAAGGGTACTGTCACTAGCAAATAGACAATGGGTCTATTCTGAGGGTTATGTCCACTGGTCCTGCGGACAGTCTTGGGAGGTGGACTCACTGAGCACCCTCACAGTCAACTTACAGATGAAGAGAATGTAGCTCAGAGATGAAGTGACTCGTTCAAAATCTCAGACACAGACTCAGGCTTGATACCCTGGGTTCAGGTTAGGTCTTGGGCCGTTTCTGTCTGCCAGTAGTTCGTCCACCCCAACTAGATGTTCAACTCTACATTCTCTCAGCAATACCTTTTTTTTTTGTCTCTTCCATGTTGGTCTCAGGGATGTCAAGGTAGTTTGTGCAACCGAACTCATGGCCATGGATGAGGTGAAAATCATTGAGGACCTCTCTCCAATTTCTTGTCTGTTTGCTTCTCATGAATGTAAGGTCTTTATCATAGTCACAAATTCTATTCCTGTGCCCACCAGTGTCTCTCTCCCATGTACACAAGAGATAGATAATAATACTGCCAATGGCTAATGCCTCTCAAGTACTTATTCTGGGCCAAGGTCTATCCTAAGCCCTAGTACCCCAACCCTATGAACAACTGTCATTGGTCCTAGGCAATTGGAACCTCTGATGAAGAGCTCATACTGCCATAGAGTACGCTCTGGCCCTGTTCTATATTACTTCTTGTGGGGTGAGACATCTACAAAGCCAGTAAGATGTGTCCATCAGAAACCTGTGACCCACTTTCCTTTAGATCAACTCCAAATGCATTGACATCCCAGCACAAGCAGTTCTAGGCTTACTTACACCTTCCCACCTACCGCACTACTGAGATCATGTCCAAGAGACACCACCATGTCACTGTAAACATCCTGGGCCTTAGGTTATGAAAGAAGAGGTTGCTTGCAGGCAAAACTTGTGTGTGTGTGTGTGTGTGTGTGTGTGTGTGTGTGTGTGTGTGTGTGTGTACTTAAAGCTCTGTGCTAGGCCTTTCAGTGTACAGGAGTTATTGGAGTGGTGAAAAAAGGCGGATGGGCCATCTGTAGAAGTTAAGGACAAGTCATTTTTCAGACAGGGTTCTGAGCCATAAAGACTAAAGAACCCCAGGATCACAGCAGCAAGAAGAGCATCCAAGGTCTGAACTCTTGAGTGCTGTGCTTGCTTCCTCTCAGGCTCCTCAGCGGATCACTGGGTGACATAATTATTATTGCTGAAGGACCAGCACCTGTCTGCTCTCCGCAGTTGCCATGACTCCCTGGAACACTCACAGAGAAAGACAGAGTACAGGAAGCTTAGAGATCTTCTTGGTATTAGGGCACAGGCAAGGGAGATCCGGCACTGCCCCAAGGTTACACGTCAGCAGAGCTCACGGAGTCTCGACATTTCCCTTCTGTCATAGTTTATTCTCCACTTCCAATCACCAAAATGCCCTCCTTTGGACACTCAGTGGTGAGCCATCTGGAGATAACAGAGAAGTGGCCCAAGTCCTTTGTCTCCTTGGGTGTATTCAACCTTAGAATTTTCACTCAGTAACCCTCAGGAATCTCAGCTGGACACTCTGTGATAGAGACCACTTGTCATGAACGTAAGATGGGTGACAGTTTAGTCTCTTGATGGCCCCAGGGACTTCCAGAAAGAATCTCAAGTCAAAAGATATGTTCTGACCCAAGCCATGTCCTCCCCACTGTCCATCTACAGTGACCTGAGCATCACCATTTAAAAAAAAAAAAAAAATTAGCTTCCACAGGAGGCCTACACGCCACCGATTGTGCCGCCGCCATGTCTCTAGTGATCCCTGAGAAGTTCCAGCACATTCTGCGAGTACTCAACACCAACATCGATGGGCGGAAAATAGCCTTTGCCATCACTGCCATTAAGGGTGTGGGGAGGAGATATGCTCATGTGGTGTTGAGGAAAGCAGACATTGACCTCACCAAGAGGGCTGGAGAACTCACGGAGGACGAGGTGGAACGTGTGATCACCATCATGCAGAATCCACGACAGTACAAGATCCCAGACTGGTTCTTGAACAGACAGAAGGACGTGAAGGACGGGAAGTACAGCCAGGTTCTGGCCAATGGTCTAGACAACAAGCTGCGTGAGGACCTGGAGCGTCTGAAGAAGATTAGAGCCCACAGGGGGCTGCGCCACTTTTGGGGCCTTCGTGTCCGAGGTCAGCACACCAAGACCACTGGCCGCCGGGGCCGTACTGTGGGTGTTTCCAAGAAGAAATGAGTCCCTGGGCCTTTGCTGTTAATAAAAGTTTATATGCCTGTGGAAAAAAAAAAAATTAGTGATCAAAGAAGAAAGTCAAAGGTGAGGGTTCCATCCCAGACACTCTCATTCATAAATTAAAACGGGGAAGAATATAGGTCATTAACATTGTTGTCAAAGGCCATGACTTCAAATCCATTCTGAATTGCTCTTTACAACATTTTAGGTCAAAACTTCAAAAGTGTCCTCTCCGCCTTTCCAGCCTTTGCCATGGTATACGAGGTAGATAGTGTCCAAGGTGTGGCTGTATTGCTGACTTCTGGGATAGTGATGATCCAGACTGTCAATTCATTACAGCCTGTGAAGTGGAACTGCAAAGCAGAGTAGAGTGTGGCTGGGATTTGGCATTTCAGTTCCAGGATAACAGTGGACAAAGCATTCTAAGAGTTAAGGACAGCGTGGCAGAGTTAAGCCAGGGCTGTTTTCTAGAATCAGGATAGACAATGCCAAGAACAGAGTCAAACAAAGACCAGCCAATGTCAAGGCCATGATGAAGCAGGGAATGGGTCCTGGAGGATCTGCCCATTGGCTGTCATTCCCTGGCATGGGGCTGATTTGTGGAGCCAAGCACATGTCTTCCTGATTATTCTGCAAACTGTCTTAAAGGCACCCTCCACCACTTGCTAAGACTTGAATCAACCAACCATCTGTGAGGCAAACTATGACATCAGAGTCATTTTGTACAATGGCACGGTCTAGAACTCAAGTCCCTGGGTACCCAAACCTGTGTATTCTGTCCAACTTCATTTGTTCCTTCATTAAAAAAAAATGCACGGTGAGAATTTGACATCCTACTGGTCACTATAATAGAGGTCAGAGAAATTATTCTGGAATGTTCTCCAATAGTATGTGGACGATGTCCTGGTGGAAGTGACAGTCAAACAAAGGAGTTCAAATATTCAGAAATGAACCTCATGAGGATAGAGTGATACAAGAGTGGTCTGAGTTGCTGGGCAGCTTGTGCTTAGAATCCTGAGTGACAAAGCAAAGAGACAGAGGGAGCTGCTGTCAGGGTGGGGAGGGGGAGAGCTCAAGCCAGTGCAGACGAGGGCAGCCTGAGGATTCCTACTCAGAGGTTACGGGGGACACTGGGGTGTTTGAAGCACCAAGAAGGCCAGGCTGGCACTTTAAAAAGATGAGAGTGGATTAGAGGGCTCATGGCAGGGAGATAGGCCATACCTCCTAAAGCTGATTGCAGAATAGACATGATTTTCTCTTTCTATTGCATGCGTGCGTGCGTGCGTGCGTGCGTGCCTGTGGAAGCCAGAGGTCGTTCCTCAAGTGCTGGCTTCTGGCCCTTTTAAAACAAGGTCTCTCACTGGCTTGGACCTACCAGTTCAGTTAGACTGACTGGCCAGGGAGTACCAGTCTCTTCTGGCCTCTTCCTCCCTAAACACTGGGACTGTAAACACACACCACGAAATTTGCCTTTTTCTTCTTTTTCCATATGGGATTCAGGAATGAAACTCAATTCTCACAGTCCATGGCAAGCATTTAAATGCATGAGCTAGCTCCTCAGCTCCCTACTGCTCATCTGTTACTTATCCACTAACATTGACTAAAAGTCAGACCCTGAATTAGGCACCAAGAGGTGGAAAGTTACGACCTAGAACGGCTGGTGAGCCTGTTTCGGGGAGGGAGTAGTCAGAACCTCAGCACACTGTATTCTCCACAAAGGCACCCCCAAACTTCCTGATTTGCTCTGGATCCCACGGCAGCGCTGCCACCCCTTTAATTCAATCAAGCATCTCTCTGAGGCTGCGAATGTCAGATCAGCTATGTAGAATCCCCCTGGCCAGCGAGCATGCTCCATTCCTGGAGCTCTGCTGGATGGTGGGTGGGGTCCCTGCTCCACCCAAGCCGTTTCCACGGGCTGCTGGCCATACTCTGAAAAATGCGCAGGTTGCCAAACTGTCAGAAGAAGCTTTAATGAATGGTTCTAATTACATTCAAGTAGCAGAGCCCACTGCCATTTTAATCAAATCTGGGCCTGGCAAGCTCTTTGGCAGGAAGACAAGAGAAAGCCTCATGAAAATCCTGCCAAATCACTAATCACCTTTTTATCCGAAATTTGCCTGATGGAGGCCTGGATGTAAAATGCTTAGAGGGAAGGAAAGAAAAAATCTCTAACAACAACAACATTGTTTGGATATTTTAGGGGCTTATTTTGGGGTTTGGTGTAAATTATTCCACATGGGGAGGAGAAAAAATTCCACACCAGGAGTTGCTGGGTGACTTCACTTCAGGGGAGCGATCTTCACAGAAGGATGAACCCCCACAGAGTCTGAGGCACTGGCACTCTTGGCCTGCTCAGAGCCATGTTTGTACTGCAAGAGACATGGCTGGCTGGCCTATCCCAGACCTTGTCAGCATCCTACTTTGGGCTGCAGGACATCTAGCCCTGTTCTGTGTCATCCCCTCCTCTTAGACCCTGTCACTCACTGGAGAGCTCCCAGCCTGAACCTGGGTGGTAACCAACAATCCTGTGTTGAGGAGAGGGTGTGCCTATTAACTATCTGTGGGTCTCCAGATCTAAGGGCTTCTCTTGAATTCTTCAGGGTAAGACATAAGCAGAATAGGGAGACTGAGCCTGGGGACTGGCAGCTGTAGTCAAGCCAGGTGACAGAGAAAGGAAAGGTTTAGTGGCAAACCAGGTTTCTTTCCTGGGCAGAATTCCTACTGCAGCAGAGGAAATTCATTCACAAATCAAAGCAGAGCTTCCTGGCAGGGGAGGGGGCTGGTGACTGGGAAGTGAGTCAAGAGGCAAACTTACTGCAGGTCTCCGCTGTGAGGCTGAAGTGCCCAGCAGGGCTTCTCCACACCCAGCCCATCTCTGGAGGGCCTCAGTGTGAGAGACACAAGGAACGTCCGAACTTTGATTTGATTACCACGGACACTGTAACCAGTCCTTTACCCAGACTTGTTGGCCAGAATTTTCTCAAGTTGTAGTTTGTTTGGGACATATATTAATTGTATACGAGAATAACTTTCATTATGATATTTTCATATATATTATATATAATATATATATATAATATATATGATGTCTTTTGATCACATTTCCCTCTATTACCTTCTCTTGTCCTTCCACTTTCCTAACCAACTAGTCCCCCTGCTCACTCGCTCTTTATTTGGCGACCCAACCCAGTGGCTTTAATTGGAGTTGCTTACAGGAACGTGGGTGAAGGTTACTTATAGACCTCATGGGCCCTTACCAGTGGTTACAACAATGAAAAAACCTCTCTCTCTCTCTCTCTCTCTCTCTCTCTCTCTCTCTCTCTCTCTCTCTCTCTCTCTCTCTGTGTGTGTGTGTGTGTGTGTGTGTGTGTGTGTGTGTGTGTGTGTGTGAGTGTTGACTGTTGGCTAGAGTTTTAAATTTTGGCTCCTATTTTCTATGTATTTTATGCTTTTTCCCCACAGTGAGGCCTCCCAACAAAGGTCAGGAATACACAAGCCCTAGACACCTGAGCGTGTCTGACACATAAACTGGGAAGTCTTCTTCTTTAAATCCAATCACTACAACTGGTAATTACATTACCCAATCCTCAGTTTTCCAGTTTTCCAGAGCTGCACTCAGTTAGGATTATAACACTGACACTAACATCCAGGCACACTGTTATACACCTGTAATCCCAGTAGTTGGAAGGAAGAGGCAGGAGGCTCAGAAGTTCAAAGTCAGCCTCTGCCACATAATGAGGTCCAGGCCAGTCTGGGTTACATGGGACTATGTCTCAAAAACACAAACAAAACCAACCAACCAAACCAAAACAAACAAAAGTGAAACCCAAAGTCTGTCCTACCGTGGCCTGTAGAGGATTTTCAAGAATTGAATGCTATCAGATACATAAGGTGTTCTGGAGACGTGAGATCACTTTACAGATAGTTTCTTTTTTTCAAAAATTTCAGCACAGTTATAAAAGAGTCTGGAGAGCTAATTAGAGTCTTAAATGTCCTTATTCATGGACCACATGCACTAGGCTTTGTTTTCTTATCTGAAAAATGGGTGCAGCACAGCCTCACAGAGTGTGAGAGAAACACGTAAGATGTGAAGTCTGTGAGAAAAGGCAGTACTAACGGAAGAACAGCATAGGTCCTGAAATAACCTTATTGGACCCTGGAGATGGGCCAGGTATTGATGGTTGATCAGAGGCTGTGGTTTAGTTTAGGAGCAAACGTTTCATTGGGTACAGGTTCTCATCCTAGAAGCCCACCCAGCAGCAGGTCCCTGCTCCTACTCAGGTGACAGAGCTCAAGTCAGGCCAGCACATTACTGGGAGCCCAGGCTTGATATCCAGGTCTCCGGCATCAACCCATCTAGACATGAAAGCCCTTTGTCAACCTTGAAATGGGATTCCTCTGGACCTTTAGCACAAGGATATTGGACAGGTAAGCCATCCTTTTTATTATTTTTATTTTTACTTTTTAACCACCACAACAACAAAAAGGCCTTACTATGTAACACATAAGGCTTGCTCGAAATTCTCCATCCTCTTGCCTCACTCCCAAATAGTGGATTAGAGGCATGAGTTATCATGATGGCCAAGTTTTCTTTTTATATTTCAAATGCCACTACTTTTTAAAAATGTCTAAAAGATAGAAAGTCACATAGCCAAAGGTCACAAAAGCATGGTGGGGGTAGTTGAGAACAGTGTCATCGAAAAGCCAGAGGCCAGAGAGGTCCAGCACCTTCCCCTCCAAGGATGCCTGGGGAAGGACAGGAGAGCAGAGGGAAGTAGACACTTGTTGGAGCAAAGTTATGCGGCTAAGGACCCAGACAAGCTCTTAGATAGCATGTAGAGAGAAGGAAAAAGAGTGCGAGAAAGAAAGGGGAAGGAGGAGGAGAGAGGGGAGAAAACTCAAGAGCCACAGAGAAAGAGTGGTGTTTTTAGTGGAACAGCAGTCCCACACAGACTCTTTGAACAAAGATTTTGTGGGATGTTCGGATAAAGAAAAGGACAACTTCAGCAGACTAAACTTCAGAATTGTTGGATTTCACTCT